CACCCTCTGCATTCACTATACACCCTCTGCATTCACTATACACACTCTGCATTCATTATACACATTCTGCACTCACTACAAACACACTACATACACTGCATTCATTGTACACACTCTGCACTCACTACAACACACTAAATTCATTATACACAATTTGCACTTACTACAAACACACTACATTCATTATACACACTCTGCACTCACTACAAAAACACTACATTCACTATACACACTGCACTCACTACAAACACACTAAATTTATTATACACACTGCACTCACTACAAATACACTACATTTATTATACACACTGCATTCACTACAAATACACTACATTCATTATACACACTCTGCACTCACTAAAAACACACTGCATTCATTATACACACTCTGCACTCACTACAAATACACTACAATTATTATTCATACTCTGCACGCACTACAAACACACTTCATTCATTATACACACCCTGCACTGCACTATATGCATAGGAGTGTAATTTTTTTTTTTAAGGGGGGGGGGGATGGGAATCTTGGGTGAGTTCCCACACTTTTTTCCCCAGGACTTGACCCCTGGGTGTGTGTGTTTGCAAACTGTTTTAAATAAGCTAGGTGTTGTATAACTAGTGTGGTGTAAGTTTATTGTGTTTAAGTCAAGATGTTTGTAGAACTTCTATAAATAGCACACATACAGCTACATACGTGCTGTTTTTACCGTGGAAGGTCTTGTTTAAATAGTGCAGCATTTAAATTGTTGCAGTTGTTTTGTAACTAGTCCACTGTGTGTTTTGTTTTAATTGAAGTAATCAATGTATGAATAGTATGTTGTTGGAATGGAATGTTAATTGTTGTAGCTATGTAACTTGTGTAGTAACACAGTTGATGTGTGTAAGTGCGTGTAGTAAACTAATTGATGTAGTTATGTTGAGTGCGTGGTCTTTAAATGTAGGTAACTGATGCTATAGTAGTTGTTAGTGATGTGTGGTATTCTAACTGATGTGGTTCTAATACAAATAGTGTTGTATTTAAATTGTGGTAGCTGTTAGTACATGTGCCCTTTTTAAAAGTGTTTGTCTTGGTTGGCGTTTGTCTTGGTTGGTGTGTGTCCCTTTATTTGACATAGATGTTTTGTAACGAATATTGTTCTGTGTGTCATTTCAACAGCGAGAGTTACTGTGGGATCTAACAGAGAAAAATGGAGTGGAGTCTCTTCTGCCAATTCTGGATGATAAATGTGATAGCTGGCCCGAAGCTACTGCACACAGACTGTTGAGCTTGTCCATGGATTGCACTTCATCGCGTGTCAAGCAAAGACCCACCATGGCAGAGGTCAGCGCCTATGTTTTTATAGTATCATAAATCACTTGTGATCCTGTGTCTGGTAGATCTTCAGCACTATCTAAAAGTCTGTGACTTTATGAATTATTAGATATAATTTGTTAACAGAGCAACCAGTATGATTTATTCCACATTGAACATCATAATGAAATACATTGGGGATTCTTCACTGAAACAGGATTTGTGGAATATTGACCAAGGGATTAATCCCTTGAGGCCTCAATGGTCGAGATGAAAACATAACTGGATTGGAGACGTTTTTTACAATTCAGTTAAATTAGCTTCAAATTTCTAATTCTTTTGCCAATTCTCCTGGTTAAACACATCTAAGTGGGAAATATGATAACATAAAAGGGGTAATAGCTGGTTAGTCACATGCACCAAATGTACAAAAAGAACACCTCACTTAGTCTTTTCACTGCAAAGACTCTGGTGTTTACTGTTTACTGTAAGAACAATCAGGATGTGGAATTCTCTGCCTGAAGAAGTGGTTTTATCAGAGTCCATACAGATGTTCAAACGGCTACTAGATGCATACTTGCAAGAACAGAATATTCAAGGATATAATCTTTCAATGGTAACTTCCAGCGATCCAGGATGGAAATCGACTGCCATTCACAGGGTCAGAAGAATTTTTCAACTTGTTGCAAATTATTACTTCAAACTTCTTTTTTTTTTTTTTGCCTTCTTTTGGATCAACAGCAAAAACAAATGTGAGCCAGGCTTCGAACTTGATGGGCGAGAATCTCTTTCAGCTATGTAGCTGTTTTTGATACCGGAGAAACCCAGCGGAAACAAAGCTTCACAGAGGATGGACACAGGTTTCTTCAGGAAGGAAAGGAATTCTTTATTGTATCACCGATGCGGGACTCAAGTAATGTCACCAAAAATACAGCAAGTTCTGAGCCCTTAACAATAGTGCAGGCTCTCTATATAGGCACATAACTCCTCCCATATTAAGCTCCACCCGCACATTCTCTTGACCAATCATTACAAATAAGAATTAACTTCCTGCTTGACCGCATGGCTTGTCCAGCACAATGGAGGAGGGGAATACTTCATCCTGTATTCTTGCACATGCTCCGTACACTACTGATCGTATCTTGCCTCGTGCAACCAACTGATCGATACGTCAGCATATGCACGTACACATGCCACGTGGTAATCTCGGCCTACTAAATTTATTTTTACCGAGATTCCACCACATTCCCTTTGATGCCTCTTGATATTTTACAATTACTTGAGGCATCACTTAACCTTGGTTTGCATACACCACAAGTTACCTTTGAACCAGACCAGACTTATCCTATGATGTGAATCTTCAACACTCGTCTTCCTGCATTAGTTCTCCCTGATCTAGAGCCTTATATTTATAAATTGCCATTATCTGTGCAGCAGCCTTCCTCTCTGCTATATTTTCTATCAGGCTTTGCACAGACCTAACTACTAAGGGTATAAGACACGGCAGGGGTAGACACAACATTAAAATCAGTAGGACTCCACCTACCACTGCCTTAAGCCCTCCAAACCACTCATACCAGCTACCAAACCAACTACT